CTTATTGCCATAATTCCCCAGTTGATTGAATTCATTACGAATTTGGGAATCTCGCTTTTTATCACTTTGAAATTGAGAAAATTCAGACAGAAAATAATGGAATAATATGTTGTATATAGTCAGGTAAATTATGTTTGAATTTGTTGTAATATAAACTTTCAGCAAATAGATATGAACTAACCTGTTATGTAGGGCGACACGGTGGCTCAGTGATTAGCACTGTCACCTCACTGCAATATGGTCACTGGTTTGAGTCCCAGCTGGGTCAGTTGACGTTTCTGTGTGGAGTTTGCACTTCCTCCCCACGTTTTCGTGGGTTTACTCCGCATGCTCTGGTTTCCCCCACAGTCCATTATATTCACTATAGGTGAATTGAATAAGCTAAATTGGCCGTAGTGTATGAGTGTGTGTGTGTGTGAATGTGAGAGTGTATATTTTCCGCTACATTCATTCTTCCATGGCGGGGCGCCACGCCAAAATGTATCCCGCCACGGCTACATTCCAGCTTCTCGTTTAAAACATTAAGTCATTGTTGTTGTTGCTGTTATTGTTATTTTTAATAGCGGGTTATAACTGCACCAAAACTTGGTAAGTGAATTATAACAGCACAAACTTTTCTGTAATCGTAGTAGTGCTGTACGTTATTTGTTTAATCCTTATACATGACATGCTGGTTGACTAACTGACTGACTGGTACGTGATGCATGAGGCCAGCAAACACGACGTAGCCTTCAGTTATGATGAACACAGTTTCCATAATTTTAATTTATTTATGGATTTGTGTAAAAGGTCTGCCGCCACAGCTGGAAAAATTTCTCAAGGAAGCACTAGAGTGTATGGATGTTTCCTAGTACTGGGTTGCAGCTGTAAGGGGGTCCGCTGTGTAAAATACATGCTGGATAAATTGGCGGTTCATTCCGCTGTGGCAACCCCTGAGTAATAAAAGGACTAAGCCGAAAGAAAATGAATAATTGAATGAAAGAAAACCTGTCATGTTTGGTTCATGTAAGTTTTGCTAAAGTGGAAATTTATGGCTCAGTGTAGGAAAAAACAATCATTTGAGAAAATTACCTTCAAAAATATGCAGTTTTATTGAAATATACAGAAACAAATGAACACATTGTAACAAAAGAAACTCTTAAAAGTTTACTTTGGAAGTTTTTATATACATTTAAACTGAAAAAAACACACAAGCAAACAATGATAAATAGCTTGTGTTCATTTTACCACGTGTCGAGGTGGGTAAAAACACACTGATCGCTGTTGTATTGAAGGTGCTCATAGGGCTGGGTGATTATCAAGATGCAAACTTGATCATTATTTTCCTTATTTACCCATATTTTAATTATATATATATATATATATATATATATATATATATATATATTTCGATAGAAGTTGTTAATGCTTCCAGATTTAAAAGAGTACCCTAACAATGACTGAAGCCACAAAAATTAGAGGGTTCATTAAATGGCAAACCATATTTTCGATGGCTGAAAATTCAGGACATTTCTAATATCAACACACTTTTAAATTCTCGTTGCATATTTCTGTTGGGTGATTGGCTTTTAGATCAATAAAGAGTAAAAAACATCCAGAGCCTATTGTTATTGACATAAATATTATTGCGATTTGATATAATATCGTTTATCGGATGCTCATGTGGTTAAGTCCATTTAAACCACCAAAAATCACCTCTTCTCTTACTGTCCGTGTTGTAAATAAGTAAAAATATCAATTCCAGCCTTTATTTTGTGTACTATTGACAGCTATGTATTTAATTTTAGAACCCACCAAAAATTTGTATATCATGGATGTAAAATGGGTATTTACTTTGTACTTCAGAAAAGGCCTTAACATACACCTGCTCCCCGTAAACATTCAAAACAAAAGAGAGACAGCAGATGTAAAAACCAGTGTGTCTCTGTTGTCCACATGTGATCTGATCAAACTAAATCTTAATAGCAGATGTAAACAGGGCCATTGATTTCTTGAACACATTTCTCTCTGAGTCAGGCATTTACAGCTGGACTGCAGTCCTCTAGTGAGGTTTGAGGTCAGGAACACTCTCCCAAAATTTATAGCAGAGGATGGTTAGGTGTTAAAGGTCACTAACTTGACCTTTCTGGGTGCTTTATCTTGAAAGAGTTGTGATGTTAATGCATCGAAAGTGCAAAGGTGTGTGTGTGTGTGTGTGTGTGTGTGTGTGTGTGTGTGTGTGTGTGTGTGTGTGTGTGTGTGTGTGTGTGTGTGTGTGTGTGTGTGTTAGAGAGAGATAGAGATAGAAAAAAGTGTGTGCATGTGCATTGTGCGTGTGTGCGTGTGCATTGTGCGTGTGTGTGTGTGTGTTTGTGTGTGTGTTTGTGTGTGTGTGTGTGTGTGTGTGTGTGTGTGTGTGTGTGTGTATGTGTGTGTGTGTGTGTTTGTGTGTGTGTGTTTGTGAATTGGTAATGTGAGTGTTATTGATCCGTCCCTGTGCTGCTTCAGGAAGATGGATTTCTGAGTGTTATTATGACACACACACTGACTGAACACGCTTACAGTACAATCTCACATGTGGATTGTACAGCATAATTCACTTTATATAGACCAAATAAAAGTGCATATACAGTAATACACCAGCTACTTACATCTATTTCGCATTTGCAACACAATGACGGCGAATAAAGAAATGACAGCACTGCAAGAACATACAATTATTTTTAAACATTTAATATATATAAATTACAGACTGTAAAGTTTGTATACATTTCTCTCTCGCTCTTTTTCTTACACACACAAAATATATGTATTATTAACAGATCAGATATACTGTGATATAACAAAAATATTTTTTTATCATCATATGCTTCTGAAATTCATACAGGATAAATGTATTTTGTCTTTTGAATTTGTTCCTACTCTGTTGTTTAAAACTAAAGCTATATTTAATACTATAGGTTTTATGTATGTTTATGTATGCTTATTTATGTCATGACAGCCAACCCCTGTCTCCCCACCCCCGTTTTCACACCACACTGCTGACTTTGGTACAAACCAGTTGAAAAGAACCAAAATGCAGTCATCTGCCAAAATCCACATCTCTCATTGGTCAGATGTTGTTGAACATAGTTTTTAAACTGCTAATAGATTGTCAGAATTCACGTGTGGGAAAATGCCAATGAACTCCTTCAAGTAAACAAACCGACCGACACAAAATGTCACTTTTTACTATGGAGGGACGACTGCGCTGACTGATTATATGCCTGCTTTAGACAACTTATACATTTTAAGAATGAAGCGCGACTGAAAACAATGTTTTAATGCACGTCACTTCAGGAGGAGGCGTGAATTAATTGAGCTAAACTGCGACATGGTCATCTTGCGGAAATATTACCAACGATCCATCAGGTAATGTTTCCTCCCTCTCTCTGTTGGTAAAGCGCTGTCAACAACTATTTTTTTCTTCATATCCCATAATGCACAGCGTATTGGCCTATGGCAGCTGGATTAGTCCAAAAGGCGCAGTACTTTTTGCCGTTGGTACTGTTTAAGTTCAGATCAAATTCTCACCACAAATGAACAGCTCTAGGGTTTGTTTGAAACCGTACCGAGACCACCTCTCCAAGCAGGTCTCGGTACGCTTTTTTCTTCCGCTTTTGGTGCGCACTCGAGTACGATTTTGCTGCATTCACACCTGCCCAAAGGAACCGCACCAAGAAGGAAAACGAACTCTAGTGCGATTCAACCGAACTAAATAAGGCAGGTGTGAAAACACCCTAAGTCATGTTATGTTTCCATCCAAAAATGTGAATTATCTTTTTGCGCAAAACTGGATTATCGCATAAAAGACGTTCAAATAAAGCAGCGTTTCCATCTAACGAATCAAAGCGAACAAAATCGTCACTTCCTGAATAACTGGCGCCAAATATCAACTGTAAAAACGGAATTTGCTGCGTTAGAAGCTGCATGAATCTTTTCCTTATTTAATTAATGACTTGTGCCTCAGAAGGCAATCCTGACATGCAATGAACACATAATGGTGTTTTAAGGCATGAGACATTAATAATATAATAACATTAATGCTGAAACGGTTAAGCTCTTATAACAAAATCACATGACCTTTTTTATTGCGCATACTGGAATTTGTTTAGTAAAAATGTTTCCATCATAGTTTATGCGCATCTTTTCTTATCGAATAAAAAGTTTATCCTACTCAATTATGCGCATGTTTTTTAATGCACATCTTGTCTTTTCCATCAACCGTTTTTTTATGCGCATATCCAAAATGAGCATAAAAGTAGGTGGATGGAAACGTAGCTAGTAATTAACTCAATCGTTTCGTTCAAACAGCTGATTCGTTCAAATCATGATTGCCCCTTTGAGTCACTGGTTCACCTGATTCCTTCAAAACGCAGATACATTTAGAAATGAAGCATTGCTGTGTGTTGATCAGAAATCCAGACAGCTCAGCTAATATAATTAATACATTTAGTGCCATAAATATAGCACAATATTAACTTATTATTTATTATATGATGTATAAATCAATATCACATTTGCAGTCCTGCTATTTGCGACAGAAACAGCTTTCATGTGATATTGAACTCATTGCATTAGGGATATGTGATGAAATTCTGTTGAAAGCATTTCTTAGCTTTTTTCTCATTATTCCAAACACACACACACACACACACACACACACACACACACACACACACACACACACACACACACCCCTCTTGATCTCTTTATGTTGCTCTTCATCCTTCTTCTCTCTTTTCCCCCTCCCCCAACAAACGCGACTTCATCATGATGTTTAATGCAGGTGCCACACTGTGCCATGATTGAATGTTTCATATTCTTGATAATCATATTAGATATTTATGAGCCTCAGCGTGTTCATTTTATTAGATTCAAGGCTCTCCATCAGGCAGGCTGACTTTGAGAGGGCAGAGACACCTTCAGCCCTCCTTTAACTCAAACACGTTTTCTCTCTTTTTTATATATATGTACTGTAGCGGCTCAAGGATGAGATAACAAAGGTGACCAATGAGATCGAATGTCTTGGCTCCACTCAAGAAAGGTAAGATGTGATTTTTTTAAACTTTATTTTCTTTTTTTTTTCATTTTGTCAGAATTTTGTTGTCAACATTTTGATCAAATTATAACAGGCCTTTTTTCCATAAATATCAAAATTAGTTGTGCCTCAAAAGATGAAATGAAATGAATGTGTGGTGGCTTTTAAATTCATTCAATGTATGAACAGACATAGAAGTTTATATTTGAAATATACAGAGCAATGTTTAGGGTTGAGATCAAAATAGCCATTTTGATGCTTCAAATGAAGGTTTGGCTATTGCTGTGTTAAACCAATAGATGGCGACAAGCAATTAAAATATATATGAATAATCAATTCAAGTGACTCTTCAAAAATGCTGATTCATCCAGTAATGAAACATGCATTTGAATCAAATTTAAATTTTTAAAACCTATTTATTTAACAGCATTTGTTGTTTACTGTTTATTTTGTTAATTTAGTAAACTTTAATATAATTTTTAACTAGTATTTTTAATAATTTTTTTTATTGTATTTTAGTTCAATTAAATTAGAATTTTGTGTTTACTATTTTATACTATTACTATTTTTGATCTATTTTATACTACTTATTTCTAATAGTTTTATTTTATGAAAAGTTTATTTATTGTATTTGTAATACATTAATTTAAATATTTGTTTTACTTTTATTCCTTATTTTTATATCATATCATTTTTTAATTACAATTTAAAATATATATAGTATATTATATATTTATTAATTTGTTATTAATTTGTAATTATTATGATTGTTTATTATTATTTTATTTAATCGATTTACAGTATTTAGTATTTTATGAAGGATATAATCAACTCAGCAAATCAACTTTTTTCCTCACTTGGAAATGTTTTAGATTAAATGTGCCTGAAGCAGTATTTGACCAAGTCGGACCCAGTCACACTTGCAGCCAATCAGCAGTAAGGGTCATCTAGTCATGATATCAGAGATATAAAAAAAGGGGCAGGGTCCTGTTGTGTTATGGGCGTTTGTTTAGGTGCTTTCAAATATCAACATTGTTTGGCAAAATATGCTTAGTGCACCTTTAATGAACAAAACTCAGTTATGAATACTGCTTTGTTCTTACTTTTAACAAAAAATGTCACTTTTAAATGGTGTTTCTGTCCGATTCCGCAACAAACAAATACATATTCTCCATTTAACACACAGGAATTACACACACATTTTTGGGCCACTGTTTGAATCTTTAATGATCATGTCCCCTGTGGGATGGAGCCTGGTGAATTATGTAGGGCTGTTTTAGTGAGAGACGGTGTAAATTGACACAAATGTTTCAGGACTTTGCATAAATGTCTAAACAGTGTATTATAGTAATTTACAGCACTGTCGCAGTTCCATTACATTTGTATCAGGGAAAATATTCCTAATAGGATGCATCCAAATGTGTGATTTCAACACATTACTCGCACATACAGTAAAGCAACTTTCTTTTAGCTTCCATATCTAATTTACAAAAGTGATTACATGTATATATATAAAGCCTATATAATATAAGTCTAATGTCAATTAACTTTTATGAAGGTAAAATGACTTGTATGTATTAAAATATATAAGGAAAAAAATTATTAATAAGTCGTCTACAAAATTGTATTATATTTTGAATTCTTTAAAACTGACAGACCTTGTGTTTTGAAAGATGTCGGCAAAATATAATTTATAGTAATATATAGAGTAGTTTATACCTCAAATATAATAGTCTTTTAATATTTCATAAAATGATTATTGTTGTAAATATGCCTGACAAGATTGTTGGTGTACAAATATTGTTTCACTGAATGAGACGTTAGTCTTCTGTAAACTATTGGAAAAAAATATACTTATCAACATCTTTATTAGGTACACCTTACTAGTACCTAGTTGGACCCCATTTTGCCTTCAGAACTGCCTTAATGCTTCGTGGCATAGATTCAACAAGGTACTGGAAATATTTCTCAGAGATTTTGGTCCATATAGACATGATAGCATCATGCAGTTGCTGCAGATTTGTCGACTGCACATCCATGATGCGAATCTCCTGTCCCACCACATCTCAATACGTCCATGCTTTCATGTTGTTGACACCAAATTCTGACCCTGCCATTCAAATTTGGTTGCAGAAATCGAGACTCATTGGACCATGGGAAACATTTTTCCAATCTTCATATTGTCCAATTTTCTAGTCTGTCCATTCTCCTCTGACCTCTGGCATCAATAAGGCATTTGCACCCACAGAACTGCCGCTCACTTGATATTTTCTCCTTTCTGGACCATTCTCTGTAAACCCTAGAGATGCTTGTGCGTAAAAATCCCAGTATATCAGCAGTTTCTGAAACACTTAGACCAGTCCATCATGTAAAACTCTTTTGTGAAGGGCTCCTGATCCTGTCTGACTGCACTGACCCATATTTCCTGAAAGGCCCTCAAAATATACATCAAAACGAATCGGGCCCATTCATTATACATGACCCATGATACCACCAGGCCACTGAACGCTTCACAGGAATGCCTGCTCTGATTCACATGGGAGTCGTTTGGATGGAAGAAAGCCTTTTTCAGAATGGGTTTCATGTCATTAACCTTCCTTTTATGAAATTCTTCCTCTCTTTGTTCCTCCTTCACTTTGGAGGATGTAATTGGACACAAGGTACAATAGTGCATGGCCCTTTTTACAGGCTGTGGCTTTTAACACTACACATCACACCACCATCCATTTGAGTGGATATTAATGATGGCACTATGTTGGATGACTTAATTGTTAAAACATCAAAGTCTAAATTAGACATGACACAACAATTTTTTTTGGCCCAAAACGATACATTTTTTATGCGTTTGTTCTGTCGGTTCGTTTATATGACAATTGTTTAAGTAATTATGTAAAAATTAGTATACAACAATAGATTAGTATATGAACAAACATGCATAAAAATAACTGAAATAAAACATTTTCTAATAAAGCACCTTTGCTATGAGCCATTCATTCATTTTCCTTCGGCTCAGTCCCTCATTTATCAGGCGTCGACACAGCGGAATGAACTGCCAACTATTCTGGCATATGTTTACACAGCGGATGCCCTTCAAAACGCATTTAAAGCAGGGGTGTCAAACTCAGTTCCAAAAGGGCCGCAGCTCTGCACAGTTTAGTTCCACCCCTAATTAAACACACCTGATCAAACTAATTGAGTCCTTCAGGCTTGTTTGAAACCTACAGGTAAGTGTGTTGGAGCAGGGTTGGAACTAAACTGTGCAGGGCTTCGGCCCTCCACGAATTGAGTTTGACACCCCTGCTTTAAATGAAGGTTTGGTTATTGCTGTGTTACACCAATAGATGGCGACAGGCAATTAAAATATTTATGAATAATCAATTCAAGTGATTCTTGAAAAATGCTGATTCATTCAGTAGTGATACAAGTCTTTATAGTTGATGTTCATTAAACAGAGATTTTTAAAAAATTATAAAAAATTAAAATGTTGTTAAACTATTAAAAATTAGTTTTTGTACAGTTGATTTCTTTGTTTTTATTTATTTGTTTAAAAAAAACTGAGTTTCATATTTCATATTGCGAGAACGGTCCTTTTAAGTTTTATTATATTTCATTTAATATATTACATATTTATATATTATTATTTATATAATATTTTAATGTTTAATCAACTTAAAATTAATTAATTAAATTTATTTATTTAATTATTTTGTCAGCTTAAAATTCAAGATATTTCTTTATGTGCATTTACACTGCGTGGTTCAAGTGACTCAATTCTGTTCTTTTTTTCTGCCATGTGGCAGATGTACGCGTAAGCAGGAAAAAATCACATGAATTCACAACTATTACTCGAATCAGATTCAGACCTTCAATTCAATTGTTCAAATATGGAAATTTATCGGATACGATTTGGATCTGTGTTTTTGTGTCTGCAGTGTAAGCAGATTAAATTTTTCACACTGCTTTCATTTCAGAACAGACTTCAGCAGAGCCCCAAACCTTAAATCTCATACACGAGAGCAAAAAAAATAAAATAAAATAAATAAATAAATAAATATATATATATATATATATATATATATATATATATATATATATATATATGTATATATATATATATATATATATATATATATATATAAATAATGTAATGTAGCACAAATTTTTTAGCATGTTAATGAGAGCGAGAGAGTGCAGCATCCGCCAAGTAAACAATATAAACGAATATAAAACTTTTGCATACATCACGTGCATAAACCAGGCCATGGACATTACATTAAAATATTTGCTGGTTTAAAAAGGCCTAGATTAAAAGAATATGGGCATATAAGAACATTTCTGTCATAATTTTAGTAAAACAACATGTCAAAAAGAATTTAAAAAGAAACCCTGCAAACAGATTAAATACAGGAACAGAGAAAAGGGCGCTCTTTTATCATCAGCTGTCAGTCAGCGCCCGCTCTTTTTTTCTAGGTCATTGTGCCTTTGCCGTGTGCTGTGTAAATGCAGACAATTGGATACGAGTCACTTTTAAAAGATGATGTAAGCAGGTTAGCAAAAAATCTGATAAAGTCACAAAATCGGAATTGCCTGTGTAAATGCAGCCTGTGTCGCTTACTTGTTATTCATAAATATACATTTTGGTTTCTAAATCAAGGTTTCTAAAATAGTGTTTTATTTATTTATTCAATAAGCAATAATTATTCAACAAGGACTTGTTCAATTAATGGAAAGTGGCATCAGGACATTAAAAATGTAAAAAAAAAAAAGTAAGAAATATTTCATACTTGCCAGAACTATCCCTTTCGGTTCTCTATTGTGAATTC